ATATTTTATATTCAAACTTGTTCAACCTAAAGAGCTCTATTAGGATCGAAATCTGAAACCGGAAAGCAAAAACATAATTAAACACGACGAGGTCTATAAAAGTGCTCATATTAAAATGTCTACTATTCTTAGATATATGAGAAATCAAATTTATAAAGGACACGAGGATCACAGTGATATTTTTTCATTATTTTTAGAGAGATAAGCACTTGAAGTTTGACTGGAAGTTCTTTTTTTATGAAAGTAAACTAGTAAGCGGTCACTGGGCTTTGGACCATATAAAAGCGTCGGCGCCTTCTACCATTCCCAGTAATTAATACCGATTTTATCTGGAAAAGATCGGAAAGATCGACAGCCAGGCGGCCGATCATAAAAACCTAGTTCATTCCATTAATAACATGATTAACATGTACCGACCCCACCTAGATGAGATAAGGACACTTGTCGTGAATAACCATTTTTTTAGTAACGAAAAACAAACCTGACTTTAAACATCTAGCTCTGTATTAATTTTATAACTTTCTTTGAGTTTCCTAGTATCTTCGAAGCCCAAAATCCAATACCAAGAAAATTAATTTTGGAGCACACGGGAAGCACCAGCTTCTAATTTAAAAAGTTCTGAAAGTTCTGAGGCAACAAACATAAAAAAATACAGTCGAATTGAGAACCTCTTTTTAAGTCGGTTGCTTGAAAAGAATAACTGAAAAATATCTTGGATCTAACGCGTATTTGCATTAATAAAGGCGCCTGGCAATAACAGCAATAAATAATCAATCGCGTAACCGACCAGTACTAACCAACGAGTCGTAGACTACCCTTTTCATGGCGATAATAAAACCATTTCATTGGCCCCGCAAACCCTGATGGAGGTGCGGGGTAAACTTAACGTTATCTCAGTATAACGGCATTCACATCGTAAACTTAACTATTAAACAGCTGCTATTAATGAATAACTGTAATATAATAACTGTAATTTAAAGTCTACAACATATAATTGAAGTAGTCGTAACTAATACATTTGAATGCTACTTTGTTAATACTTAACAATACTCTTATTACTAAACTTAATAACGGCATTCTCATCGTTCTTAAGAACTCAAATATCTTTAGTTAATATAGAAGCGTTACATTTACTTACTGATTGTTAAAATACTATCCAATTCGAAAAAGAAAAGCCACTGCACCCGAAAAGGAACTGGCGAAAGAAACTCAGCGGGACAATTATTTGACAGTAAAACATGTTTACTTTATATTGTTAAGTTATTTAATAGGCTGAAATTTAATGTTACAAGTGTTGTTGTTTGAAATAATATAATGTCGTTTATTTTTTTTGTTATCTCGAAGAATACTTAATGCACCGTAGAAAACGATATAAAAGTTCCCAAATTCGTACGATTGTAGCAAGGAGCCGTGCCTTTTAATACATGGTTTTTTAGAAATAAAATTATAAATATATAATAAAAAAACTATACTGCGTTATTGCATTTCATAACTTCATCATTATATTCCAACGCATGGATGGAAGAGTAACAATAACTTTCACTTGGATGTTATATGTGAAGTCCGCTAATCTACAGGTCTCGTGGTGGACTATGCCCTAATACCCTCTGTACAGAGGAGGCCTTTGCCTATCTGTGGGGCATTTACTTTACTTTACGACGTTATTACATTTTAACTTAGCCTCAATTTCAATCTGATGGTAGAAAGTAGTATATATTCTTTTTAAGTTCCATTCTTCAAATTGGGTTTGGGTTCTTGGGTTTTAATTCCTGATGTGATGATTCCTGATTAAGTGCAAATGGTTAGTAAGCTCTCTGCAAATAATTGGGAAAGCGACCGTCTTATAGAAAAAAGACTGCAAGCACTTAATGCTCTATGTTCGACTATTGGAATATTATTGTATCAATTTACAAGATTGATACTTGTGAAATGAATTATTATTTATTTAATTTTTACTTAAACTTAACTAAATTAATGGAAACTTTTGCATTCCTAATCACGGCCCATGACATACTTAAAATTGTTAATTTTACAACGGGATATCCTAATTAAATGTCAATATGTGTTTTATATTTAAAAAAGTAGTTATAAAAGAAGTGCGATAGTGTAGCAGAACACGTAGCACATAGGTTGGAATGAAGTTCTTTTGTAGTATATTATTATTGATAAATTATAATTAATAGTATATATACGTGACGTTTCGGTCGGGATGGAAAATTCTTACATTTTTTTGCGCCTAACCCCCATCCGCCAAATCCGTTCCGTGCGATAAGGTATCTCGTTCCAACATATATTAAAAGCAAGTAATTGAGTTACATAATATTAAAAACGTAGATACATTCCATTTTTAGTATAGGTCTCCTTTCCATAGTTGTACTCAGTGTACAGTAAATGGTATAGAATCATGTACATTTACAACAAATCGTAAATATGGGTTCGTAAACATGGGTTCCCGAACAAGATAGTTATGCTTCTTTCAACAATAAAGCACGGGTTGATCATCACTTTGTCATAAGTATTACTCATTATTACATTTACTGTTGATCTAACAGAGAATTATTCATAGGGCGACAGTTTTAACGATTCGTATCATTAGGTAATGATATAGGCGGTGCATCATTAATCATTGTCCCATCAATTCCCTCGCCGTGAACGGTTGCGCCGAACATCGATTATGTGCGGAGCTTAAGGCGTGGTAGCCTCCGCTGCTTGTACCGCCGCTGCCCGAGGTATTCTTGCGACCCGACGGTGCAGCGATAACCGACCCTTATCGCGTTGCGTTAGAGGCTAGATTCGCTTCTCCCGGACACGCAACTGCATATGCCCGCGCAAATGGGAGTGGCCTTAGTGCGCTGACAGTTATTAATGATTCCTAGCAATAGGTCCGCTCGGCGCGTTGAATCCGCCGCGGGTCATTCTTGTGCATCCCCGGTTTAATGTAACGATTTTATTGGATGTTTCCGCGCTGCGGACATTTACGTCTTTTTACGAAGGCGTTCAGCAATTCATGTTTATTTAAATTTGTTGTGTATATTTTTTTAGAATGGTTTTACAACAGCAACAATATAGGAAGAAGGACCAATGTTCACTAAGTTTGTCGATTAACTTTAACTTTAACTTTGACTTTGTCCACTGCTTTTGTTTCGCTTGTATTGTATTATTCCCTTTTCAATGTAAGCTTAATGTAAATAAGATAATGGTATCATCATATTAAGAATTGGAACAGCATGGAAACAGGATTACTTATCTTTACATAATATGCCACAGAATAATATTGGTCATGTACTTTATATCTTTTAATGACGTAATTATCTTTGATGACTCGGCTCAGTTGATAAACCTTTGGCTTCGGTTCCCACACGAAGCAAGATTTTGTGAACCCACAGATATTGTTTCGGATCTCAGCGTCTTTTCGCAAGGACGGTTTCCAGTTGTTAAAAGCTTAGCCATTAACAACACGATTCACATGTTTTTTCGACTCAACACAGGTTGGATGAGAAAGAAAAACAAGAATTATACAGCAACTACCGATGCACAAAGCAAAGAACAAAAGCATGTAATTTCGGGACAACTAAGCGAAAATAAAGATCATAATTTCCACAAAATCATTCATAATGACAAAGGAAGTTAAATAGTTTCTTCAAGTGTCCACGTCGGAATACCTACTGACTTCAGAATCATTATCTTAACAAGATGCGTCATAGAAGTTTCCACCCAACTCTAACACAGTTCAGTCACGGAACACTCCTATCGGTCCCTTGCAAATTTACTGCTTTAGTCAATAGTCATTACGTTCGCCGTTCGTTCGCAAGTCGTGAGAGCGAAACGGCGATTCGAATAAAAGCGAAGCGGCCATTTTGAAATCAGTCGTGCCTCGTTCACACCGAACAGTGTTGCTTATCATCGTTCACGAATGCACACGTTTACGAGGCAGTAAACTTTTAATATTGGCCACGGCCGATTCGTCCGTCGAAGCGTAGGTAACATACAGTGAATCGTAAATAAACGTTTACATACGTACCGTTTGAACGCTCAAGTTTTATTGTCATTTGAACGCTTATTCGTCCTTCTGCTTAGCGACTTGTCGACACATAAACCGTGATTTTCATGTGACGATCAATTTGTACGCATGCAAATTATATGTCACTTGTTTTTATTTTCATGATTCAGCTCTGCCTGCTAAGCAAATAGTATGAGCAAGTAGGAGTAGTAATAAAGTGAAAAGAATATTTAAAATAAATTTGAACAAAATATCACCCCCAAAAGACTTTTAAAAAGGTTAGCATTATGGCACATATCAAAAATCTTTTCTGAAGCGTACTTGGTATCTTTGTCCGAATTCCATTGCATACAACATAGTCATCGTAGGCGAAATGACGTTTAAATCGACTCACCCATAGATGATTGAATCGTTTCCATTGTGTATTATCTAAAATTACAATTACAAGTTTTTAAGATGGTGCACATTGGTATTACATTCCTGAGATGTCGTCGTCATAATTTCAGTCTGTCTGAGTCCTATTCTGAACATAGGCCTTACCATAGACTGCCACAAAGCGCGGTCTTGAGCCACCTGCACCCATCGCACAGGTCGTCACTCCATTTAGTGGGGTTCAATAGGAGGCCGCTCAAGAACCTTTCTTCCTCATAGTTCATCGGTTCTTCGAGCTATAAGGCCGGTTTCATCTCACTAATCCTCTCAGCAATGTTGGTTACATTTGAGATGTATTTTATCTAAGTTATTTTTATTATAGTAGATGTCAAATGTGTTCTTAATGGAATCGGAACACTGAGTGTGCTAACTTTTATGTGACTCTCACTCTGGTTACCTCTCCGGTCCGGTTACCACTCTGGTCCTAATCCTTATAAACGATATGAGGACGTTTATAAACGCAAAAGAAGTTCTAATTTAATTTTCCCTCGCAATTTCGAATTTGGAATCCATAACAAACGCCTAGCGCTTCCGTCTTCCAAGAAAGCGCGCGAGTGGGCGGGCGTTATCGCGGCGTCCACTTCCTGCGCCGCTCGCGCGCGGTCACGTAGCCCGCGCGGCGGCTGGACAATGTTGGCGTTTTCGCGCCATCCGACCGCCCGGCCGAACACAAGGGGCCCGTTGTCCCACTATCGCACCGGACGCGTCGCGTAAGGTTATAGGGTGTGGTGGTACGATTCGCGGTGCGTCGGCGGACGCTTCTCGAAGTTTCCACGATCGGCGGACTGCAATCGGTTCGAATACCAAATCATGCAATAGAATTGCATGATTTGGTAGCTACGCAGTGACGCAGGTAGGAAAAAATGTTCGCGCGATTAATTTCAACAATTCCAACAACACAGATTTCTACTTTAAGTCGCATGGAAGTTTCTAGAATATGACTAGTACTCATTACCTCGCCCGTCGTAAAGCGGCGTCCTTGTATTGGAACGTTACGGGTAATTTATGATCACCTCACGACGCCCATAATCCCCCGTTTAATTGTGCTTACATTGTATCTGCTTTGCGGAGTGACGAATCGGGTCGTCCGCGGACGCTTCTCGAACAATGCACGCGGAGTCGTAAAGACAACTGCGGTTTCGTGCTAACCGTAGAGATTTGGCTATTAAAACGCACTAGGATGCTATCTAGGCCTCGAGATAATAAGCTAGCTCGCAAGATATTAGGCTAGCCCGCGAGATATTAGGCTAGCCCGCGAGATACGAAGCTGGCCCGCAGAAACTTTGTCTAACCCACAGAACAGACGTTTAGACGGTCTGGGAAGTTCAGTCCGCACGTCTCGATTAGATGTTACCATTTCATATAGATCTGTTATAGCTAAACCTCGATAATATCACAGCATTGTACGAACGTACGAACGCTAAAGTGCTTACACATATACTTACATATATTATTTATTTAATCTTTATTGCCAACCTCAAATAAAAAGGTGACAACGGGCGGGCTTAATGACCAAAGGCATTCTCTACCAGTCAACCCAGGTATTGAGAGCTTTATTGTAGGCGAGGGAAGAGGTGCAAAATTTATAAAATTTTAAATAAAGCGAATAAATATAAGATGTATATATATTAAATAAGAAATATAAAGTAAATAACGTTTAAAATAATTTGATATTATATCCTCGATATTAAAACTTATGTGATACTGGTTGGCAATAAAAATACAATATTCTTTTAGCTTCACGTACGTGGTTTAGGTATTTATTCCAACGCAAACAATGATATCACATGATCAAACAACAAAAACAAAAAATCATCAATCGAACAATAAAAACACTGACGTTGTTGTTTAGAATCTTTAGTTAGGTTAACAGTGGTAGGGCCACGCAACAATTCGCTAGCAGTTCTGCCGAGGGAAGTACCAAGACCTCACAGAAGACGGGTGTAAGGTGGAAGTACTTCTGTGTTTCTTTTGTGTGTTAAAGTAGCGGGGAGCTACGTTATTATAAGCCTGGCCTGGAATATACAAATGTCCATGGGCGGCGGTTATAACTTAACATCACGTGAACCGCAAGTCGCTTGCCATCTAAAAAAATAGGAATACAGATGAAATATTTTCGCGACAGCGCCAATCTTCGAGATAACAAATGTAGTATATACAGAGGTTATTTAATGACCGCGTATTACGTTGAAAACAATTACGAGCCCTCCATTTTATTGCGCCGATGCTCCTAATTGCCGCGTACGCTCTCGTAGGTCCGTAATTATGCGGAATGTTGGTTGAAACAAATTGCGGGCACTACACGAGCAATGCCGAAAGGGGTTCAGATGTTTACTACTTAAACTCAAGTATATTAAAGTTAAAAGTTATGAGGAGGATACTCAGTGGGACACAACAGTTGCACATAAAAAAATCATAGCTTTTCCAATAAACTTAAACTTTCCAAGTGGAGATGATTTTAGGACAACTGTAATGGTCATCCCTCCGCCTATAAGTCTCAAAACTTACATCGACGATTAGAAGACAATTGTATAGTCCATAGACGAAGCTTGCTTTATTTAACCTTTATTCAAAACCATAAATGATTAGAAAATTTAAACTTAAATTTTATTTTTAGCATGCTTAGGCATGCATATAAGAAAATATCCAAGGAAATATTTGGTAATTTATTAAGCATTCCTTAATGATGGAGTAATACCTATATCTACAATTTATTTAGTCAACTTCAAATTACATAATTATTATCTAGTAAACCTAGTCCACGCGGTAAATTGGATAGATAAATTTTATACATCGCAGTACACCCAACAGAAAAAAAGCAGGTATGTATGTGTACATTTTTATATAGTGAGAAATAAAATTGGAAATAAATAAAAGAAATAGAAATTGGGTGTGTATTTAAATAACATTACCAGTTTTATTATTTACAATTCTGTTGTTAAATTCTGGTGTAATTCTGTTGTATTATTGTAGACCTGCTGACAGACGTTTACTGAACATGATATCGTAATCTTTCTGTAAGATTAATTTTTTTAATTTTGTTAAATTATGCGTCATATAGTTGTGAAGTCATATGACGGAATATTATGAAGAAAATTAAGAAGCAAATTTGAATTTTGTAACGATCCGTGTTCACGCCACCATTGCACGATAACAGCGCGAGCGGAACTGTCTACGTGCCCGAGCTTACGTAGGCGTTAGAGAGAAGAAAAAAAAGCGGTTCTATATTCAAAGTTAGCCAACCGACCAATAGCATGCGCTGTAGGCGGGGCGGCGGTCTGCCATTGGCCAGCAAGGCTCCGTTCCGACACGCTAGTGATGCATCGCTCGATTATAACGTTACAACGGTTTTCGATCGTTACTCGAGTTGTTTTACGATTGCGGAGGCGGGGGGCGAGGGGGTTATTTCGGTGTCTCTAGGTGTTGCCATAAATTAATTTCACTCAAGCCCGTCGTCACTCTTTTACCGCGCTTGAATGTTAATAGCTCATTATTTACTCAAACATTGATTAGAGAATTGTAATTAATTATTGTCAATGGCCCTTATAAGTTTTAATTTGATAGAAGGTAAACGTTTCTTTTTTTTTATTACGTTTTTCCTTCGATTCTTAAGAATTACGCGGCTGTAACAAAGGTTGTGTTATGTATTTAAAATAAAAAAATAGTTTTTATCGAACGGATAAATAGGTTTTGCGATATTGATACTCTAAAACATGAATTTTATTAAAGTATAATAAGGCAGGGCGAAGCACATTTTACCATGGTTTATAATGAGAATATAAATTCTGTTTTATATTTTGTAGACGATGCTCTACTGAGCATATAGCAGCGATAAGCTGGTCTACTGACCAGCTTATCGCTGGTAGTGTGAGCTGGTGAGGTCTGAGCATAATTTGGACAGCCGAAAGGTAAAGATACTTTGTTGACATATACTTTAGACTAAATTTCATTTGTAGAAAACGTTATTTGTATATAACACTTAAAAAATCCATCCAATATCTATTTTCGCGATTGTAGGTCATTTGGTACACAATTCCACTCATAGAACGGATAAAAAGCATTTTGGTATATAAAATTTTTATTAACAAAAAACAAAACCGACTTATGGAAGGAATGCAGAATGTTTAAAAACGGTTTAAAAATGACAGACTCTTGAGTAAGAGACATAAAAAAATATAACCTAATTGAGAATCGCCTCAATTTGGAGTCGATTGAAAATACGTCGAAAATACAATAAGTCGATTCAATGTAGATATTTATTTTTTGTAAATTATAGTACGTAGGTACTTACTATATTAGAAACTAGAGGAACCCGGCAGATATTGTCCTGCTGCACAAACTGTATGAAAGTTGAAACACTGAAACGTTATCTGGTGACAGTTATAATAAAAAGGATACCACAAAAATATTTTCAATACTCATATCAAATTGAATGGTATGGAAGTTCATGGACTGTAGTGCCATCTCCATAGGTGGTGGTTCAAAAAATAGATAGTAAAAAACCTCCATTAAAAATGCATGTAAAAAGAACGGGCCATAGGTGCTAGAGTTTATTGCGTGGCAAGTTTCTGTTATAACTGGATCCTGTCGATATATAACGAAATAAAGGTTGACAAATCCTTAATTGTTTCGAAAACGTAAGAAAACAAATGCACAAGTGCAAATAAATCATTCCACGTGTACTTTTAAACAATCGTGACAAAATTACTTTTACTATATCGTAAACTTAATTGTTATCTGTAACTGTAACAAAGTGATTTCATTTTGAAAATATTCGAGTATTTTTTTTTACCGTGGTAGTGCCATGCGACAGTCTTTGTTTGCTTACACCTAACGGAACCAACGTTCAGTTCGACCCGAAATGGTAAAGAAAATGATGTACGTAGCGTTTACATGCCTGTACCTATGAAGCCGGGCGATAAAAGAAATAAAAAAATTGAAATATTAGGTTTTATTGGAGATCTAATAGGCTCTATCAATCCTAATAAATGGCTACATACCTCTCATTAAGCCATCATCAATCCCAGGATTTTATGCAAGCACTAAAAGTGATTATCGGTATTAAATCTTAAAATAGCTCTACAAAGTTGCAGGCTGTAAATTTCTAATAAATATATTCATGTATTATTTTATGCCACAGGATTAAACCACGATGTGCACCTTAAATATTTATTATTTTATTATTTTTTATATTTCATTATGTCATCATTATAGTATCTGTGAAATATTCACAGATTCAGAGACTAAATTGGGTGTTAAACATCAAAAATAATTACGAATGTTTGCTCACTATAACCACACTTTTTCAACTTTCATTTTGTTTTTTTCTATTAAGAACTTTAATAGGTTTACCATCGACATTTGAAAGAATGAAATATGTTTAAGAAAATTAGTAATTTACTGATAAAAACACCTCGCTGTGTAAAAATCTAAATTAATTATAATCGCAATGGTCTGCCTACGCCGTGAGAACGGCCTACACTACAAACAGCTACATATAGCTACGCATAACCACATGTAGCTACACGTAGACACATCAAACGCTTGGGCGCTTTGCGTCCGTTCGCCCGTAGCCACGTAGGTCCCATTCTCACGTTAGTAAATAAAGGGAATGTGCAGTTGCCAAAGCCCAAGTGCCCATCAACTGCGCGCGAGCGTACGCGCGGCGGAGTGTGACCGAGTGTCTTTCCGAAGCGAAATAGCACTTTTATCGCCGACGGTCCGTCCGACAGACAAAGGGAAGTCGTAAAGGGGCTAAGTGCCCGCGGTGGTGCGCGACCTCCTGACTGCGATGTTTATGGACGCTAGTGATGTGCCCAGCGCCGATGTCTCTTAATCCTCTGCGAAGGCGCTGTGCCGTGCGTTCGGTTACTGCGGTACAGGCGCGAACAGAAGCTTTAAGATTTTTTAAGTTACGATCAATTTGCGCGCTGTACGGCTCTTTTAAGTAAGTCCGTTCCTTCTATTATTTCAATACAGACGTTAGAAGTCTTAAAGCATACTTAGTCATAGCTAGTTGACCCCTACCTACCGACAGGGTCGGTAGGGTTTGACAGAGTCGGTAGATATTAATTTATAAATAAGTATTAATTTTTTTATCTTCAATTTAGACAAATTGTCAATTAATAATATTATTATACAATCTTAATCAGAAATACATAAAGGAAGTTTTTTATGAAAACATTATTTTCTTCTGCTTGTAGTGCGTGAAGAGTTCTGGAAGTTATGGCGTTCCGACAAAACACTTTTGAGAAATAAAATGTAGCGATCACCGTGTCAATTGCGCTATAAAGCCAGTTCAATATTTTCGGTAGAGTTGCTTAAAGAAGTTTTAATGTTTTTTTGTTATTATTCGTATGCTGTTCTTTTGACTGTACTCATATGACCCGCACTGAAGACTGTTGGCGAGGATTAAAAGATATTTTATGGTCGTCCTCGACGGGCCCGTTTTGGCAATTGTTTGGTTAGTAGCCGTGGTGGGGCGCCACCATTGACCACGCAGTTTATACGAGCCAGAGGTATCCTTCGCTTCGATGTTTTGTAACCCCCGTTTATGGTTACCTCTCTTTTTTCTTTTTTTTCTTATCGGTACAGGCGTACTTTTTTTTTAGTTTAATGCAAAAGCAACAGGAGTATGTAATGTATGGAATTTAGATAATTTGATTCACTACTTTATGTAGTACAGTATGCATTTATTTGATTGTATCTATTCTGCTCTAAGAAATAGATGTTAATTTTCCACAAACGTGATCTGAATCTACATTTGAAACTAAAAGACGTTAAAAAAGGTATGCCGGTATTTGCCCCACTGCTGGGCAAAGGCTTCCTCTATACTGAGGGTTTTAGATATAATAGGTTTTATATATAATATAGGAAAAAAATCATGTCTTTTGTATGAGAGCTCCAATAATTAATAAATATTTTTTTATTCTGTTTTTTTTTTAGTATTTGTTGTTATAGCGGCAACAAAAATACATCATCTGTGAGAACTTCAGTCATCTAATTATCATGGTTCATGAGATACAGCCCGGTAACAGACGGACAGACAGACAGACAGCAGTCTTAGGTCAGAGTAATAGGGTCTCGTTTTACCCTTTGGGTACTGAACCCTAAAAACAGAAATCGCTTTCGTGTGAAGCGGAGGGCATAATTCTGCATCTTTGATCTTGCCCAAATGGGCAGGCTCATCCGGAGAAGCACCACGGCCTAACAGATATCTCATCACTTAACATCAGGTGAACTTTTGGCTCGCTTGGCAAATTTTCACATACAAAAAAGGAGGTCCCGGGACTAAATGGTTGAAACCACTCCATGTTCACCAGAACTGTGATTTATCTTCTTTCTCTTTGTGTATAAAGTAAACGTATTTAGCTTTCAGTCTAGCGGACTAGATTTCGTTTTACGAATAAGGAATAAAAATAACTACGTATTATAACAGTCTGCTTATTTTTTAATGCGGCCAAGTATATGAATAATACAAAATTAGAGAAGGGTTAACATTTTTAAGATTCAGTTGTGATTTGGTGATTAACCACATTTGGAATATATGATCAAAGTTATCTTTCTAATTATCTTTTATTTTTGATGAGTATTAATAAAATGTATTACCGGCCCTCTGTGTGGCTGGCCGTGGTATTTACCCGTACGGGCTTACGAGCCTGCATTTGTGCAACAGCCGATTCTGTAGCTGCCACAGACCTCTTGATCGACCATAAGATGTGGCCGGAAAGAATGGCAACAATGTATTGTGGGCTTGTACCGTATGACGTCAGCATGAGGAGGATGGGGAGACGTAGAGCCTTAGAGAACTAGAGGGCTTTTAGTAGGTGCGAATACTATGCAGCCCTGTCTTCCGTTTAGGAGGAAGCGTATAATATTATCAGGATGTCCCGAGTGCAGTAGAGTTGATGAGTAATACACTTCGTTCTCGCTGTCCTCTTAGTCACGCCGTCCTCTTGTTTGTTTGTTGTAAAGACGTTTTATAAAAAATTCACGCGGACAAACATCCAGGTCCGAAACAATTACATGTGGGCCACACAAATAGCTGTCTCGTGAGGGAATCGAACCTACGACCGCCAACACCGAATCCAATTCCTTGGAAACTGCGCCACAAAATCACTTTAATGAAATCAATTTATCAAATCAATTTATAAAAATCAATCAATTTATCAAATCAATTTATAAAAATCAATTTAATGAAACACGAGATGTCCTGTGTTGTTATAAAAGCGTTATTCATACGAATTATCTGCTGACAGAACTAGACCCAAATATTTATTGCTACGTCAAACAAATGTTTACACTGAACGGGATCCGAAGTCTCAGCGGCTGTGCCTAAGAGAATAATAGTAGGTACAAGACACCTAGTAAGCTGTCATGCATGTTAGAGAACACTAATAAAGCATTTTATATTATGTCCGTAATACTTTACTAGAAATAAGAGTGTTGCAAAAAACCTAATATAGCCAAAAGGTTACAACCAACAACCAACGTTCTGCGATCTTGTTATTACTAGTCAACCAGTCCTTCTCGGCTTTGCGCTGATAGATCTAATCTTAGATTCAGTACCTCATTTTACATTGATAATGTAGGTAATAGTCAAAGTAGTGTTAAGTTAATTTGGGGATGAATCTTTTTTGTTATAATATAATTTCTAGCTTTGATGAAAGATAGACAAAACTTTTTGTCAGCGAGGTAAAACACGTAGTAGGTGTTGTAGAAATTATGTGTGGTTTCGGCCACAGACGTGAACCGGTGCTGGATTTTAATTCAATATATTTGAGCATTCTGAGTTCAAATGCTCGTTGCCAGTGCCAGTGACAATTGACAATTGTAATTTTAAGTGCAGTTTTATCATCTGAGGACCTGTATATTTAATAACAACAAAAAAATATTACGAAGATATGTGAAGACTCTGCTGTAATAACCCCCGTAGAGGAGTCTGACCAGCAGTGGGACATTACGGGGCTATTTTAATTTTTTTCACCGCACTGTTCATCGTGACGTAACGGGCGACAGGAATGTTGCTAGTAAACATAAACCAATTCCCATGCCGGCGGCACTTTGTTTACGATACGCAATGATTAGTTGGTTTATATTAGCTGTTATCTGAAATAAACACGCCTCCAGGCTTGAGTGTCCCCGTTCGTGGAACCGTTCGATTGTTTTACAACGGTCCAACGCGTTTGATGGTTCCTAGTCAACGCTAAAAGTGAAATGAACAAGATTAATGGATTGCGATTGTTTATTTAAATATTTATAGTGCTTATCTTTGCACTTAAGTTGGAACATTAAAATTTGTAGAAGAAATGGACGAAATGTCTTTCGCCGCTGCGATAATCGAAACCACGTCTTCCAGATCCGAGAACTAAGCTCAACGGCAGATTGTTACACCGACGAATTTTAAGCAATGCTTGGCGCATCCATTTTTATCTCCTTTACAACAGACAAACAATTGCAAATATCGTTTTACAACGATAATTTGAACGAGACTAGAACACAAATTAGAATTATGAATAGAAATGGCGACATGTCATTTCTATTCATAGTTCTAATCTCTGCACTTGAGATGAAACAATAAATTATGTAGACAAAAAGGGACGAAAAGTTTTTCGCCACTGCGGGAATCTCCAGAGATTATGCGTCCAGATGCGTTTAGTGGTTAAAGCGTCTGGGCACGAGGTTAATGTTGGATGATGCTTAATGTAGTTCGAGACCGAACCTTCCGTTTATACAAAACAACGTTCATCCAACGTCCAATTGTCTCTGCCCAGAAAGGCCGGTTTGACATGAGCTCATTGCCAGTCAGTAGCGGATCATATTTCAAAGTACACTATTAGCTTCTTATAAACCCTGTTAAAGTCGTTTCTATAATGGAATTAGAAATGTATTTATTTATTTTTGTTACACCCACAAGATGAACACTAGATTTAGAGAATGTCTACGTAATATGTTAATATCGGGCTTGGTGAGTGCCGTCTCAATTATAGGTGCAAACCACAATTTTTTAAATTTAACTACACAAAAACTTAAAACTAGTCGTGAGAAAAAAACACTATATGAAGAGATAAAAACTCAGCGAATAGTAACTACAATGAAAGTTTGCGGCATCAATATTAACAAAAAAAAAAAAGTAAATCTAAGGAAAGTAATCAGAAATTTAAATAAAATCAAAAGAAGAAAAAATATACTTTAAACATAACCTTAATAATTTCAATGACTCCGAGGCGCAGTTGCCAAGCGGCTTCGCCGCGACCCCCTTGGGTTTGATTCCCACACGGACCAACTATTTATGCGCCCCACAGATAGTTGTTTCGTATCTGGGTGTTTGTCCTCGTGCAATTTATGTTCGTACAACGTCCTTACAACACAGGATAATGTTATCCTAAAGTGAGGACAATGTTTTTTTAAAGAAAAAAAAAAATAACCCTTTGTTCATTGTTACAGCGGTGTCCCTTGAATCTCTGGTGGAGAACTGCCACAAGCTGCTAGAAAAGTTCCATTACTCGTGGGAGATGATGCCGCTGGTGCTGGTCATCCTCAACTACGCGGGCAGCGACCTCGACGAGGCGTCGCGGAAGATCGACGAAGGTGAGCCGATTCAACGATTGTTTTACCTTCGCGGATTTTGCTCGGCGCCCTGCGAATTTAACGTGTCCGGCTTGCGATGTTCCAAAACAGTTTACGTATAAGTTGCTTTATTTGTTAGTTTTTTTTTGTTTGTGTAGTAATATCGATCTCGTGTCTCAATGGTCTTCGTTTAGCTTATAAACGTGTGACTATTATTACTAACAGTCCGACGTAGCGAAAGGAAAGGACTCTCCAAGAATATACTATATATAACTATATTATAAGTACATAAAACTATATTCTACTCTCCACGACGCACGAGTATATGGATTTGTCCACAGTCGATGTATCTTAATTTTTTCCGATATCATTGTCCAAAACTTACCACGTTACCTTTTACCGCTTTGTTGGATCCAATTCCTGTCGCGTGTAGCCCACATCTAAACACTATAAAGATACATTTTCATATTATTATGATTTTTATGTGGATCCATTTAATGCGATTCTCCTGAGCTTAGACTTTCAGGTTAAAGACATTTGTTTATCACAAAAGAAATTTACATAGTTCATTTAAAACGTGATAAATACATAGAAGAATTCTTAAATATATGTATGACACAAACAACCGTCTCAACCGAGTCAGGTATACCCACCAGAGTTTATAAATCTAAGCAGTTAGTAATTTGTTTAATAAGCGTTTTTTTAACACATATACATCCATATTCAAAATTAAATTTCATCATATTAAAAAAACAAAAAGAAAGAAAAAAAATCGCCAATATTACAAATTCACCATTACAAGCATAAAATACAACATACAAAAATATTTATCCAAACGAGGCCCACTTACCTCAGTCTTTGTGTGCAACGTGAAGTCTACAACATCGATTAATATATACATATACAATCGAGCATGGTTTATTTACAATGGTTTTACATCCTTTAATTTCCTCGGGCACTTTGTTGTATAGTTAGACTCCATCACATCGATTTATTTTTCCTACCCCCAATTCTACATGTTGGTAATTCGAGGTTATGTCTATCGTGGTTTTCAACAGCCTTACCAACTTTCACTACTTCTAAATCTGACCCCAAATATGTCAACGTACAAAAATTTCAAATCAAATGTGTAACGTGAAGAAAGTATCAATCACATTGCATATACAAATACACGTTATTTAACCCCCCGTTTATACAAGGCTATCTGGATATTCACTCAATATCGAATTCGTTTCAAATTCATCGATATCTAAATATGAATTTTATTGAAAGTAAAAATATTGAAAGATCGCTGCTAGTAATAATATTGAAACACAGTGTATAAGTGAATAAGTTCTAAAAGATAATATTTAAGACGGAAGCTTTTAGATTTGAGACACGAATATTTTATAAATGATAATATTTATTCTCATAATTGATTTTTTGTTGTTGTTATAGCGAATGTTTGTTCTTAAGATCAAATTATATTTTTATTTTTTTTAGTTTATTGCTTATTTATGTAAAAACCAGCGCTTGTGAGTGTGTACAAATGTACACCAAAATAAATGTACAAATATACATCAAGTAATTAGTCGGAAGGTATTAAATTAATTATTAATTTTTATTTCAGTTATTTAATAAAGTTAAGACTTAATAACTAAATTCGAATAAAGAAAAGGATTTTTGTTAAGTGCTCACGTGGAAATACAAGTTGTTGGTTTTGATTGTACTAACTCAATTTTATATATCCACTGTTACAAAAACTGAGTTACTTGCTTTGTTTGACTACTGCCGTTGGGTATAGAACATTAATAACTTAATTGCAAATTTTTAAAAATAGAATATGTTCTCAATTAATGCAGAACCTAACAAACCTCCACAGGTCAGTCTAAAAGTAACTCAGTTTTCGCTATAGCTGCGAATTATTGTAGAAATGGAAATCATTTGCTGTTGTAAGTACAAGATAATTTTTTGTTCAAAATGCGTGCCCGTGTGCTACTTCATCGCGATTTCATTGAAAATCATTTTTGCCCGTAACACAGTTATATTTTTATAACATATAGGGGCCAGGGTATGCCGAGAATAAGACGCCGGTTATAGGCATAATACCTAAAGATGACGTATGGCCATAGAAATCTTACTGTAAATATTAGCAATTTCCTCTATCCTACTTTATTTTTAGATTTTTTCTTCCCAAATTTTGGTTTCCTATGTTTTGTCTCTAAGTTGTCTTTGTCTCCCTCCTCTTCTCTTCTCCTCTCTTCATTTTCTTTCTTTCATTTATGAGAGTAATCTTGATTATAAATCAGCAATTATTACAAATGCAGTAAATAATCATAACATAAATTATGTATATACGTATTTCTTTTCTCCTTTTTTATCTTATTTGGCAACGGTTCCGCATTGAATACCTAACTGAGGTAGTAACATGAGGAAGTTATCAGCAGCTAAACTAAATTGGTAATTGGGATAATGATGCATCCAACGCCCTTTCGACGTACAAACCCCTAAGTTTCTTTTAGTAATAACTTCACCATCATTGCATTAAAAAGTTAAGTTATTTTTTGTGGTAAACTTATTCGGCCGTATAAATTCTATTTGAGTATCTTGAAATAAAAATGTGAAACTGGACACAATTTATAATCGTTTATCTTAAGAGAATGAACGTAGGGGAATTTTAATTTCGCTCAAGAATAACTTTTAATGCTCGAACAAAAAACTGTCTCGCAAAGTTATCTCAGTCGCTCTACTCGAATAAATCGCCGCTTATTTTTAATTTTTGTTTAATAAACTTAGTAAAACCCCCTTCACTAATTTCTCATATTCTTCTAATTGATAGTAGAAATAATAAATAAATATTTTGAGCGCGAACACACTCACTCGTGAAAATAAATTAGCTATTTCATAGTTTTGTATTTAATTTACCACTCTAGCGAAAGAGAAGAAATTAATATCGGTTACATTGTAATTGTAGAATTCAATTATTCGTTTCAATTAAAAAAGAAATAAGACAGAAGAGTCAGAAGTATTCCTGGTTCTTTGTCCATTTATTTTACCTAAGCTTAAATTTCAATACTTTTAATAATAAGATTTACGAATAAATTACTTAGATCCCACTCTGTTCATTATCCGTCTTCTATAGACGACTGCTGGTGTATACAACTATGTTTAATATAAAAAAATAATTCTATTTATTTCGTATTTGCAATCCCATACCACAGCAAATGGTCGCCATTAAGAATGTTTACGATACAAAATACTGCTACGAAGCTCTCTAACTGAACATTTATTGTAAAAAAAGCTTATATAAAAATTGAATTGATATAAAAAAAAACTGCTACGAAGCTCTCTAATTGGAAATTTATTGCAACAAAAACGTATATAAAAGCTCTAAAAGCTCTTGCTAATCTAGCAGTATTTTCTGTCTACGGTGCGCCCGCTACGCGTTTCACCGCCCACGCTTTGTCCGCAGGAAAGCTGATCGTGAACGAGTACGCGAGGAAGCACAATCTGAACGTATTCGACGGCCTCGAGCTGCGGAACTCGACACGCCAGTACGGACTTTGAAATACAGTAATATTAGTTGTTCTAAAAACACAACCAACGCAACCGCCGACAACTGCACACGGTACAGAAACACATGGCGCCCAACACAACGATCAGGAACACGGACACATTTGACGTGATAGATTAGTGACAAAATAATAACTCTATTAATAAAAGGACTAAATCAAAAAAAGGCTACTTTAATAATGAACTAAATAATCTGTGAAACAATCGCCATGTCACAGAATGATCGAGATTAGTGACACATTTGACGTAATAAATTAATATTAATAATAAATCAATTAATAACAAATTTAAATGAAAAAAAAGTCTACATTAATAATGAACTAAAATAATCTGTGAAACAATCGCCATGTTACAGAACGATTAAGATTAGAGACACATTTGACGTTATAATAAATAAATCATTAATGTCAAATCTAAATAAAAAATATTGTACATGATTAATGAATTAAATAATCCGTATAAAATGTACTAATTAAATTGCCATGTTACAAAATTGAAAACCAAATGAATATTTTTAGCGCCGTTCAGAAAGCCGTCGCGACGTTCGGTACGTTCAAATATAGAATTCGAATAATCACAATCATAAAATCGCGCATGAATATAAAACATGAATATGTCAGCCGTAACAAACATTCAAAGGCGACATTTATACAAGAGTCGTACCGCGTGCATTCCTCAATTAAAATTATAGTTTTATAGCAAAAGCAAGTCGTAAATGTTGTTCGAAACTGTGATTTATGTCATGTTTGATGTATCAGTTTTATCTCACAATTTGTAATTTTTGATACAATCTAATTTATATTATTGTCACTTTTCAAAGCTTCTTACATATATATATCAAATTAATATTTTTACAGATCTTACACGCGTTGTAATGTGTTGAAAATGTTTATGCAATAATACTAAGGAAAATCCGCATACTGATATTTTAAGTATCGTCTATTTAAACGATTTTAATAAGTTCTCCCATATGTAGCATTTATTTCTTATTGGTAATAATTCATGACCTGACCCTTAAGTATATGGCCTCTATTTTGTTGGTTCATTGTGTTTTTTTTTTAAATTTAAATTGGATCTGGTAAAGTATTTAAGTTGCTTTTAACTCCTTGTTTGTCCTTTTGTCCGTTGAGCTTTAATGAAGTGATGAGTAAATAGGACCTTAAATAAATATAATAATAAATCAAAATAAATCAAACATTTCGACGGCATAACTTTACAATAAATTACGTCATAAACTAACAATTTTTGCAAGTATAAAATAATGTTAAATTTACATTTTACTAGTCATCGCATTCTTTGGTAACCAACCAATTATTCAATAAAATATTAGATATTGAAAACAAAAAACACAGTACTTAATATCGTTTACTATAATATCGCATAGTCCTACTTTTGATAAGACTATGTTTATTGCTATACACAATTCCACGCAGAACATTGTAGTCTCCATAAAACCGTATCGTTGTTGTTGCATAATCATTTTCGTCCAACAAAGTCGCGTGGCACACAACACTGTCGGGTCGAATTGATCGACACACACACATCGACGCATACAACTCTGTTGAAGAATGTCAGCGGATTCAGACAAAACAACACCGTACACAATCTAACCAGTAGTGATTTCCACTTTACAGTGACCGGACGAAGGTGGAGAAATTCGAAATTTAAAAAATATATAAAAAATTTAAGAAGTTTCTAGTGACTACCCGTACAACAGCGGATAGTGTTGTGCCTGTGCGCGTTATCGATATAATTTATGAAGTGTTGTTGTTTTTTCTTTGTTTGTAGGAAAATGCTGAGCGAAATTAATAATATAAGTGGTGTACTCTCGTCGTCGATGAAGTTGTTTTACGAATGATACTTTGTTTTACAAGTGCGGTGTTTTGTGTGGACGCGTGCTGTGCGTTGTTGCTGCTTAGTGCGAATTACCTCGGACTATTAAGCCGCTACTTCTACGGACAACATAGGTGAGCTCTATTTCATTGTATTTTTTTTATTATTTATATATTTTATTGTATTGTGTTATTTCTTGTGTTCTTAAATCTCTTTTACCAATATAAACATTCACTAGTTAAAGGAGTACGTGAACTGTATACTAATACAATCAAGTATAAATCCACTGTAATAGTGTTCAACTTTCCTCGGTTAGATATACTCATAGTTAAATAAACTAAACAAGTTATTGTGACTATATTACTTCTATAATCGTAAATTGATATCGTGATAAATACTTGTTTAGTTACAAATGAATGATCTACGGTTGATATCGTTTTATAACTCAATTTAATTTGCCATCTTGGCCAGGGCATTTTCAGGATATTTCTAGGACTTTTGAGTGAGGTTTAAATACCAAATGCGGTCTTTTCATTTAGCAGTCTATTGTGCTGGCCTCTGCCATTTATTATTTATCAATTTTCTGTCAACGGCTTTCATGATGCGGCACCTATAGGAATAAAAGGCTAAAAGTTTAAGGCCATTAAATGTTTTGAGTCCCATTAATTAACGCGCTGCACTTTTAGATAATCGAGTTTCAGATAAGGTGGCGGAAAAACGTCGCGGCCATCCGATATAACGACTCGACTCAGTTTTTTTTAATCGTTAAAATGCTAGAAATGTTGCGTTAACCAATGTTGATAGAAGTAGTATGAATATTAAAACGGCCATTACATTAAGTAATAACGAGACTGTTAACAATAATAGGGACTAACAACGTCCCATTGTACTATCCCAACACGACTGCAATAATGCCAGACCAAGACGGTGCTTTGGGTCACACAAATAGTGGTCCTGTGTGGGAGACGAACCCACGACACCAGTACCCTGGAAAATGCGCCACAGAGACATCACCATCAGTTGAAACTTGCTTGAGCCCGCTCCGTCATAAAATATATAAAAAATCTGAAGTTTTGCAATCGTCGAACAATCGGCCGTTGTCGTCATTGTTGATTTAAAAAATAAGATTGAAAAAGGTTTTAGTGAATAGATAAAATTAGTGTTGCGATCCGTTTAGCAATCAAGGTAAAGATAGTAGTAATGCGATGTAAATACTCACCATTTTTTTTTTTAATTGGTGGAATCTTAAATGCTGAGATTAGCACTTAAAAAAACGATTTTTATTTTTATTTTGTGAAAACTTTTCAATTTTTGAACGCGAATATGATATTATTTGTTGAGGGGGGGTAAACTTTTAATAGCATTTAATAACCCTAGATTCCTAAGCCCTATTTTTAATATTCCATCCGATTTCCGGTATATTTTTACTGAATTAATTTGCAGAAAATACTCGCAATGAGGTAAGATTTTTATCCTACCAGTGCCAGTCATTAGAATGAATCAACTAGTTTGGTTATAAAATTTTAGGCAAACCTAAGATCTGTAGTATTCATTTTTAAATGGCCAGTTTTTAGCTCTATCTCCAATTGGCGAAGGGATGTCGTTTGATCAATAACATCTACTAGTAAAACGAAAGTAGAAAGTGTAAAGAAGATTTGTATATGCATTTCATAAAATTTATGATAGTAATCCTTAAAACAAATTCCGTTCGTTCTTGTCCAACCTGGCGTCAATTATCCACGCGCCCGATAGGATCAGAATGGTATTTTTTTTTAATTTAAATCACGAAACAATTCGCGCGCCTTCCCGTTTCCTCCCGCCCGCAATATTTTATACGACCCTAAACTCGGCGGCGGTCACTCCGGACGTTTTATAATATGCAATTATGGATTGTAAAAATGCTAAGCGGGAATCCTCTTAATGGCGGCAGTATAAACCGGGCGCGGTAATGAGCGCCCGTGTGGGCAAATTGTATTCCGCTCGTAGATTCCGCGAAGGGCAATAAAATTTTTAAAATCATGTTATGGTTTCGCTTTATATTGGGCTGTTCGTCGTTCCGTTTGCGTGACGCAATGACGACGAGCGCCGGAACAGCTGGGAGCGAATGCTGATTCGTTTTTGTCGTGTATTTAGCTAATCGGACATATCAATGTGAACTCTGTCTATGTGCGAAGATGGCAAGCGAGCTGGCAGTTCACCTGAGGTTAAATGATAACCGCCGCCCGTGGAGATTTGCAACACCCGTTGGGAAGCAGACGCGTTGCCACCTTTTAAAAAAGTGGGCTGTACTGTATGGTGGTATCTTACTCACCAGACGAAACGTTCTGCGTGGTGATTGAGGTTGCCGGGGCCTTTCCTTAAATGGTAACTTATCCCACTGGTGTCCATTGAAGTATAACTTAATAGCGTGGAACATTTTAGTCTTCACATCTGACCTGCAAAACGTAATTCCATCATCACTTTTGTCTGCTCTGTGCAACGCTGGTACTATGAATTACTATTGCTAAATTGCTAATATTAATCACACCAGAGGTAGTCTAGAGTATCGTATGACGTAAAAGTCGATATTCAATTAAAAGGAAACTTATCCAACTTTTTACCCCGGAGAGGCGTTAAAATATGCGTTGCCTCTATGCGTGTAATTGCCAGACACTAAAGACTCTTATCGTCATGCGGCAAGGTTCAGTTTGGCGCGGAAGCCGCACCCGACGGGTGACTACATAAAAACCTCGTAGCTCATTTTCAATTACGGTTGGCCGCGTCGTAAAACGTTAAAACCATGTATCTGCCAATAGAGCATCGGCTGGCAACACCGCTCTAAATTACAATTCCGGCCCTCCGGTGTTTTTACAACCGCAGGGCAGATTACCCGTATCCCCTATGTTAGATGCTTTGTCTTCTAGACCCGTTGTGGACAGAGCATTGTGTTCGTTTAAAATAAATACAAGCTCTCGGCGTGGGGTCTTGTCTATGGGTGGTGCGTTGCGGCTCCCCGTGAGGTGTGGGCTAATGTGGGCCTTCGTTTTCCATTTGCAACTGCCGAGGAAGATAGTTTAGCAAAAGGACAGTTTTACTTTGAACTAAATATGGTTACATACAAGTACTTTGTAAATAAATTCAAACGCATGATATTTTGCAAGTCCTGTTATGTAATACTT